ATGCAAACTTGGCCTATTTCAGCAAGCCTTATGTTGATATTTTTGGGGGGAGGGGGGGAGGGGGTGAGAGACAAGACAGTATAAGGGCGACAATATGAAAACGGCACGCAGAAATCAACACGAACACATACGCACAGGATGGCCTCCACCATCAAGCCTTTTGAAAGTTTTTTTGGGGGTGGCGGGGGTTGAGAGACAAGGGCAGGTGATGAATGGATGACACGATCAAAATGGTGCGCAGAAATCGACACACACACACACGTGGCGGCCTCCGCCATCATGCCGTTTTCTGGGTATGGGACGGAGAAAGATAGCAAAAGCAAGGGTGCGCGGACGACGAAAAGGTGGATATAGTAAACGGAACTCCACACACAAGCAGACAAGAGCGGGCCACTGTGGGGGCGGGGAGGGTGGGGGGATCATAGTTCGCAGTAGGTCATGGCACACGGGCTTCTGTGAGCCCCGGGGGAAAGGCTCTCCAAACAATTTTGTGAGAGGCAAACAAAACTACCCCAGATTGCCATGAAATTTCCGACCTCACATTAGCCGACAGGTTTCAGAACATTCAATAACTGCACCTCGTTCCACGTTTGCACCTCAGACCGCAAAAAAACAATGAAGTACAGCAATAATAGTGACGACAACGGCAACACGGCAAAAGCAGGAGCAGGAGCAGGAGCAGGAGCCGCCGCTGCGGCGGCAGCAACGACGGTAACAGCCGTCAACATCACCCCCAACATTACCAACAACCCTGACCCCCTCTCTCGCTCTCTCACCCACGGAGTACTCCCACTGCCCGGCTTCCCCGCAGGCCGAAATCGCCGCCGAGTAGCCGATGATGTCGCAACTCAGGCCCTGCTTCTTCATCCCCTTCAGCACCGACAGCGCCTGCTTCCACTGCCCCCCCTTACCGCACGCCACGATCAGGGAGTTGTACGTGATGCTGTCCGGAGTTACCCCCGCCAGGGACATGTGCTTCACGAGGGCGACCGCCTGGCGCCATTGCCCGCCGCCGCCACGCGCGATGGCAGCGATGGCCGAGTTGTACGTTACAACGGTAGGCTCGATGCCAAGCCGAGACATCTCGGACATGAGCTCCTGCGCCTGCCGGGGGGGGCGGCGACGGGGGAGGGGGGAGGGGGGGGGGGGGGGAAGTTTTTGCTTTGCCCCCCCCTGGGGATGAAGAAGCGGGGCCTATGCGTTTGGGATGCCCGGGCCCCCCTCTGCTGCCCACCTGGGGAGCCCCCGGGGGGGGGCCCCCCCCGGGGAAAAATGGGGGCGAAAACACCTGTGAAAACAACACCCCCGCGCCAGGCCTTTTGCCCCCCCCCCTGAAACCCCCCCCCGGGGGCGGCCCCAAACCAAGCATATTGTTTTGGC